CTGGGCAATAGAGTGAGACTGCCTCAAAGGAAAAAAAGGGAAACTATTAATAATATAGATATTTATGTAACTGACCAGTGCTGTTGGAAAAACAAATAAGCAAATAATGTAAAATAATTACGCCATGAGACACAGAGGGAGAGATGAGAGTTGGAGGTACGGGGATGGGGGAGAGAGAGAGAAATAAGCTGGAGGTGTTAATTCCTGGGGCATTGGCTCCTGCAGCCTCTCCTCCAAGAGCTAACCGCATATTCTTCCTCAGCTATGAAGGTACTCAATCCTCTTTCTGTTTACTCTTGTTTGAATTAGGTTTCCTTAACTAGCCCCCATAAGTCCTGACTCACACGTGGTTTGTGGTGAGGGCTAAGTGGGACGCCGTCTACCAAGTGCAGTCTAGCCTGGGTGGAAATACAACCTCATCTCTGATATAAGTTCCACTGCTGGCCAGGCGCGGTGGCTCATGCCTATAATCCCAGCACTTTGAGAGGCTGAGGCAGACGGATGACCCGAGGTTAGGAATTCGAGACTAGCCTAATATGGTGAAACCCTGTCACTACTAAAAATACGAAAATTAGCTGGGCATGGTGGCACTCGCCTATAATCCCAGCTACTCGGAAAGGTTGACGCAGGAGAATCGCTCCAACCTGGGAGGTGGAGGTTGCAGTGAGCTGAGATTGTGCCACTGCACTCCAGCCTGGGTGACAGAGCAAGACTCTGTCATCAAAAAAAAAAGAGAGAAAAAAACAGTTCCATTTCCTCCCTTTCCCCTCAACTTTTCTTTTCGCCTACCAGACTGGAGGCTCAGGGGACTTGGACCGGGAAGAGGGTGTCGGCTGCTCTTCTATCTCTTCTTGCCCTCCCTTACCTTGTACTACTGGGAGCTGCAGCTGCCTGTTTTGGAGATAATTCCAGCCTTACCCCTCTTCTGGGCTCAAGAAAGAGGAGGAAGAGGGATAAGAACACATGACTCTGCTTGCCCAATGCTCTTGTCCTTTTCAGTCTTTTTGCTGTCACTGTCAAATTTGTGGGCCAACACTTGATGAGGCTTTGAAGGCCTCAATGTGGAAGGTGCTGGAGTGGCTCTCACAGGGGCACAAGTGTGGGACCTGGAGGAAGAGAGGACTGAAGCCCCCTGAAGTCTGCATTTTGCAGATGAATGACTCCAAATACCCAGGATTTTCTCTTCCTTGCCTTCCTGTCTTCTGCTTAGTTAGCACAGGAGGCATGGGATAGGATTAAGGTGGCTCTGCGGTGTCAATTCCACCCTTCTTAGTAAACCCTCAAAGATGGGCAAACCTTGTCCATCCAAGGGCCCCGGTCAGTTGGCCCTGTGCAACCACCTCCTAGGCCTGAGCTTCAGATGGCAGGGAATCTGTCCACCTCATCACCGTGCCCATGACATGGAATAGAGGCCAGTGTGTATTTATGCAATGAATAAATGAGGGCATTAGTGGCTTTGCAAGGGAGAGACATCAAAAGAAAATGAGCTGCGTTGTATCCCGGGAAAAGAACTCATAATATTCATCATCTGCCAGAGATGGAGACAAAGGATGGAAAAGCCAGTTGTCACCACCCACAGCTGAAAGCAGGAATGGGAGAAAAAAAAACAGCTTCATGTTTGTGCTGCTCAGAGTTCAGAATAGTCAAGAAAACGTTACATGATCTTCATTATCTCACTTAATCCTCACAACCACTCTTGGGGGCAGGTACTATTAATCCACTGTGCTGACGTGCAAACTAAGGCTCAGGAAGCAAAGTGCCTTGCCCAAGGTCAGACAGGTGGTGGGTCTGGTGTCCCAACTCATAGCTGCCCCTGGAAATTTCCATGGCCTCAAGATGCCACCATCAGCAAGAATCACAGAAATCATTTAACTTTCATGGAAGACGCATCCTGGCAGCTCTCCTCAGCTATTCTAGGAAGTCAGACAAGGCCAGGGCAGCTGTGTCAGAAAATATCTCTGCCTTGAGGTTTGAAGCTCTAGGAGCTCCCTGACCTCAAACCATCAGAGCTTCTGAGATGACTTAAAGAGACAGCTACAAGCATCTCCAACAGAGGGAAGATGTTTCTTGGATGCTCTTTTTTCCTTTTAATCTTACATTCTACTTGGCTGTCTCTTAGCCCCCACCACTGCCATTCAATTTTTTTCTTTGAAGACAGTCTTAAGAATGGCAGAAAGGTGATAGCTGCTGAAGCCGAGTGTGGGCACATGGTGATCACTGTTAGTTTCTCTACTTCTGCCTAAGTGTGAACATTTGCCCAGACTGAGGGTCTATGACAGGCAGGTTTGTGTCCTTTGGTGGAGGGCTGCTTGATCACTGGATTCTCCTGTAGTCAGGAAATATTATTTCCAAAGTCTGTTCAGATCAAGGGTCTGCAGAACCACAGCCTATGATTGGCTGCCTATTTTTGGAATTAAAGTTTTATTGGAGCACAGCCACACTCATTCATTTAATCATTCATTTAGTATCTGTGGTTACTAAGCAGATCTATGAAGGCAGAGTTGAGTAGTTGTGACAGAGACCTAATGGACAGAGAGTCCTAAGATATTGACTATCTGGACTTTTAGAACATGTTTGCCTATTAGACAAATGTGGTTTAGATGATGATGATGACAATGATCATGATGGTGGGGATGATGACAGCGATGATGATCATTATGTAACTGACTTACCTTAAGGCATGCCAAGAAATGCGTGAGTGCTTCCTTGAACCAGATGTGGACTCAGCAGAAAAGGACGACAGCTGGGTGTGGCTTTAACTTCTCTTGAGAGGATCTCCTGGAAGAGGTAGGTAGCACTAAATAAAGGGATGGCGAAAAGACAAGGGCCCAAGGGGAGACTGAAGACAACAAAAGGAAAGGTAACTCCATCACAGAAGTTTCAGCAGAGGATCCAAGCAGAAGAGCCCCCAGAGAACCCACAGAAACACCCTTGGTGGAAAATCTCAGCTTTAACACCTTTCCAAACCAGAGAGAGCAAAGCTGCCTTGTTGTGTCAGAAATCTCGCTTCCCCTTTCCTCTCCTCCTTTCCAACCAGAGCGGGCAATGAAAGAGCAGCTAGCAAGTGCAGAGGAGGTGCAGGTGCAGTCAGCAGAGATTACTGGTTGACCCCACCTGTCCCTTCCACTGAGGTTGGCTTTAGCTGAGGAAGGGGTGGAGGAGCAGCACATTTACCTTTGAGAGGAGAGGGAGAGGTTGATTAATATCATGGATGGACACTGTTAGCTCCTGAATTGAGGCTGTGGCTGGGGACTGAGGTGACTTAGGTCTGCCTTGGCCACACAGGAGGTAGGGGCAGGAGAGGCAAGGGGACTTTCCTTCTAATTCAGGAGAAACAGAGAAAGGCGGTTTTTGACCACCTTCTACAAGCCATTCTTGTTCAATGTAACCATTACAGTGCTAACAACGACAAGAGATTCATAGCAATGACCTCGTTATGGCATCAGAGCAGTCTCTCCACCTTGTGCACTCCTACCCCTGACCATAAAGTCTGTGACTTGGAAGACAAGAGTCCTCTGACCTCACCCATCTGTCCATCCTCCTCTCTCGGTGGCCTCCCTCTGAATTCGAAGCTTCAGCCACATGGATTGCATGTCCTGACCTGAAATTGCTATTCTCTTTTTTCTTTCTCCCTTGGTACCAGCTCTTCCTTGTACCAAATGCCTTCCTCCTTTACCTGTCTGCCTCCTCCTCAACTTGAAAGACTCTCTGATCACCGAATGTATCGTAGCCACTTCTCCCTGTCTTATTGGTCACCCTCTGTGGCCCTTATCACCATCCAAATAAGTCACTGGTGTGTGTAAACACGTGTTTGCCATGAGTCTGCCCAGGCCTCTATTCGGGTCTCACTATACCCTCAGCACTTAGCCGAGGGCCTGACACACAGCTGTGCTTTCTACATACAATCTTGCATTTTCAGAATATCGGTTCACATTATTTTAAAACAGTGCTGGCCAAACAAAACTTATCCCTAAGCTGCATTCATCTCACAGCTGCCTGTTTTGGATGGATGCTCCAGGAAGCTTTCTGAAATCTGAAAGTGGGGGCAAGGACTCATGGCCTCCAGAGCTCAGGGGACCACAGGGAAAGGCCTGGATGAGAAGAAAGTAGGCAGGGGAGATAAGGAGTTGCTGGAGGCCTGGGGAGGGCCCCAGGGAACCCAACTTCATGGGCAAGGCTCTTCCCGGAATGCAAGGCTCTGCCTAAACACCCTCCGCCCAATGACAGTCTCTGCTGCTACCAAGGACAACGGTCCCCAGACTATTCCAGCTCAGACTCAGAAAGAATTCTGCCTGTGAAAACAGAACATCATCAAATTGGGTTTATGATGCATGACCGGGTCCCAAAATAGTATCCACGCCCCCTCCCTGGTCCCACTGGAAGGCTCCGTGTGAGTTTCTTTATTTTGGAGTCACTGTCTGCAGGCTGCTCTAGCTTCCATTCTGTTTCTTCATCCTGCACCCGCTGCTGGCTAACTCTCAGCAGGAAAGCTGTGAACTCAATTCTTTTTTTTTTTTGTTTTTCAGATGGAGTCTTGCCGTGTCTCCCAGGCTGGAGGGCAGTGGTGCGATCCTGGCTCACTGCAACCTCTGCCTCCCAGGTTCAAGCGATTCTCCTGCCTCAGCTTCATGACTAGCTAGGACTACAGGCGACTGCCACCACCCCTGGCTAGTTTTTTGTATTTTTAGCAGAGACGGGATTTCACTATGTTAGCCAGGATGGTCTTGATCTCCTGATCTTGTGATCTACCTGCCTCAGCATAAGCCACTGTGCCCGGCCAAACTCAATTCTTAATCAAGTTCCCTTGCTGCAAAAAGTAACCACGCCCTCCCTCCCCCCTGCAACACACACAGAGGTGACCCTGGTCTTTCTCTCTGTGCATCTGATGAGGTTGGATTGGAAGGGAGAGGGAAGAGATGAAGAGGCTGTTATTCCATGTCTGTTTTCTGTCCTTTATCCTCACTGAATTACATTCAGGTCCATGTAATAATAGACTTTTGAATAGTGACAGACTGGACTTCAACCTCTTCCACTTACCCACTTGCTGTGTGTCCCTGGGTAAGTCACTTCACCTCTCTGAGCTTCAGTTTTCTCATCTATAGGTGGGGAAGAGATGGCATTAAGCAGACACCTAATTAAATGGTAGTGGTCCAGCAAGGTGGTCCTGCTGACTCCCACTTTACAAATGAGAAAAGCGGCTGGGAGCACCTCAGTGACTTCTCCAGCCATGGCGCGTGTTAGAGGCTCCGGCCTGGCTTTCAGGTCCCCAGTCTTGTTAAAATCTGACTGCTTCGTTGGTGTTTCCCACCAGGCCCTTCTCCTGTGTCTGGGTTCTCCCTCCCTGAGCCCTCCTTCCTGAAACCCCGCCTCTCGCTTTATTCTTTGATCACTTTCTCTCCCCAGCTACCCTGCTTGCTTTCAGTTCCTTGATGCACTGTCTCCCTCCTGCCTCGGGCCCTTTGCACATGCTGTTGTACCCTCCCCCCGGATGCAAGGCCCTCCCTTCCCCCACGCTATGTCCAGTGCCTCCTTATCCCACAGTGCTCTGCTTAAGCTCCTTTTCCACAGAGAAGCCGGCCTCCCTGGGCCCCAGGGCTGTTTCTCCTGTCTCCTTCCACCTCTTACCTTAGTAATCAAACATGTGATTAAATATGTGTGGAAGGATGATGACAGCTGCCACATTAGCCTGTGAACCCCTCGAGCGCTGAGGTTTGACACTTCTTATCCACCATGTGATCCCCGGACCTAGAGCTATGCCTGGCCGCAGCAGGGGCTCCATTTGTAGTTGTCAATATACAGACATAAGTGGTTGAATGGAGAGCTGAACGTATCCTCGTGCCCTCTGAAGGGAATCAGGTTGGTCTCGCAGACCACCCCATCTCTCAGCCGGGGCTTCTGACAGCAAAGGGTTCAGCTGCCCCCCACTCCAGGAGATGGCTCTGAGCCTCCACCACGTGCTCCCAACACCCAGCAAATGGGCTCGCCTGGCAAATGGAAGGAATCGTTAATTAATAAGTGGCTGGCTCTCTGGAAAAATACAGCTTGTACAAAGGCAGCGCTTTAAACAGTGGAGACCCAAGGCCATTTCTGCTCCCCTCACCCCCACCCTGCAATGCCTCTCCGGCCTCCACTCCTACTTCCCCACAGGCACAGGGTCCTGGGTTCTAGCAGGGGCCTCTGACATCAGCTCAGGAGATAGGGAGTCTTCCCTTGTCCTTTCCTTGACAAGTGGGCCGAGCTGGTGGGTTCTGTTAGCCCAGGGCTGAGCTTCCGGCAGAGCTGCAGCTCCTGCAGTGCAGACACTGGAGAGAGAACTGGGGTTTTGGCAGCAGAAGGGACAGAGCAAGTGGAAGGAGCTGTGTGCTGGGGGCTTCAGGTTTTTGTCACTTTTAGGAGCAGGGCAAAGGGTCCCTCTGTGTGTTGTCCTTTTTCAGAACAAAACAAAGCATATTATCATATCAGGGAAATTTTGAAGAAGAAATGAAAAAACATCTCTTACAAATGTAGCACACTGCAGGTGCAACATGGCGTGTTTTGCAGGCTTTGTGCACAGGAAGCTCTGGTTTTGCATAGCTGGGGTCCTGGTGCGGAAGCCACTTTGCTTTCACATTTCTTTTTTCATTCGAGGTAGTGTGTGAACATTTCTCGGATGGTGCTTCTAATGATCACGGTCTGTCAGCGGCTTCAGAATGTGACTTCCCCTTGGTGGCCTTGCTCTGTGTCACCTCCCAGTCCCTTCTCCCACCATGCTCACATCTGCTACCCTGACCTCCCCCAGGCCTTGTGTGTTGGTCCTATTCTGGCCAGGGTCTGGTATGTTGGGTAACTCTGGACAAGCTACCAAACCTTTGTGAGCCTCTGTCCCCATCTCTAAACTAGAGCACAGTCAGGACGGCCCCTCAGAGAAGGGGGTGCTGTAAGGATTAGCTGAGCGGATTTGCAGCCCATGGCTCCCATAACGTATAGCCACAAACTGGGTGACTTAAAACAACAGAAATGTATTCTCGCTCGATCGGGAGGCCAGGCATTAGAAATCGAGGTGGCAGCAGGGTCGCTTCCTTCTGGGGCCTCTAAGGGAGAAGTTGTTCATGCCTCCCTCCTAGCTGCTGGGGATGCTGAAATCCTGGGGGTTCCTTGGCTTGTGAAGACATCACTCCAACCTCCACCTCCATCTTCCGGTCCTCTTCCTCTCTGTGTCTCTCTCTGTCCTCTGTCTTGCTTATAAGGACACCAATCATTGCATTTAGGGTCTTACCCTAAAGCAAGGATGATTTCATCTTAAAGTCCTTGACTAGTTACAGCTGCAAAAGCCCCGTTTTAAATAAGGTCAATTTCTCAGGCAGATGTGAATGATCCCACTATACTAAGACAAAAGAAAGGAAGTGGATAGACCCGAGAAATTAGCACTAGCCATACCAGAGATCAGAGATGCTCAATAAACACCGAGCACATTAACAGGCTTGCTGTGGGGGTTGCCTTCTCCCACCCAGGGAGAGAGAGGTGAGCAAGACTGACAGTCAACAAGGCTGACCCCTCATCTCCCATGCTGAAGTCAGAGTCCCCTGACAAAGCCCACGACCGGGTGCCGGTGGGGTTAGGTGGGACATGAAATGCAGGGGGTCTGGGGAGGAGAAGTAGGTATCCTTAGGGGCCCTCAAAAATGTTTTGCTTTGCTTTAAAACAGAAAGAGAAAAGTGACTCTCATCCAGCCTGAATTATATTTGTCTTTATACCAATGCAGCTATAAAATATACTTTTTAAAATGTTTTTGAGGAAGGGGGTCTATGAAGGCAAGAACGCCTGAGGCCCATGAAAGTCCCAGTAGGGGTCCTGACTCCTTGGGGAGGCCCGGAGTGAGGCATTTGCATGTGTTGCCCCTGTTCATTCCTTGGTGATGTAATTGGCATCACTATCCCCATTTTTTGGATGAAGGAAGTAAGGGTCTATGAATATTTGAGTTGTACCAACCCCAAGCCGGGAGGACCTTTGGCGCACTCTAATCTGGCCCCCAGGAAGTGGGCCCAGCAAGGGCAGGCACCTGCAGGGCTGCACTGAACTCGGATGGAGATGGGTCTGCAGCCTGGCTCTCCTGCCCTATCTTGTGACTGTTCTGCTCGCACCTGGCTGACCTAGAGGGGACGTGTCTCTGCCACCCAGATCGGCATGCTGGCTGCTCTCTTGATAAATCCACTACCTGATCTAGAGGCAGGCCGTGTCTTTGCCAAGCCCCCAATGACTGCTATGGAGAAAGGACATTGCATGTGGTCAGGGATGCTCATGCTCACTGGCACCAGCCCTCAGGACGGCTGGCTGAGGACCACGTCACTAGAGGAGCTGGTCTTGCTTCTGGGACTAGTGGGGCAGAGTCTGTCTCCAGAGGTAAAGGAGTATTACCTGGTCCTCCGCCTGGAGAACATACAAATGAATGCAATGGAACCCCTCTCCTTCAGGAGTCCCATCCAGGTCGGGGAGGCAGACTGGAGAAGCCACTGAGGGCTTCCTGGAGGGTGTGGTAGTCCAGGTGAGACCAGAGTGATGACCAAGAGACAGACAAGTAAAGAGAGTGTGTGTAGGACAGGGCTTGGAAAGCACACAAGTGGAGGTCAGGGAGGAAGGGAACATTCTAGATTAGGGAGCAGCTGCAGACTCTGAGGCAGAAAGACTAGGACAGGGAGCCAGTGGAGAGAAGGTGGAGGTAAGGCCAAAGAGGAGGCAGGGGCCAGGGGACACGAGGCTTTGGGTCCTTCATCAAGAGCTTGAATTTCATTCTGTGTACAATGGGAGGTGCTGGAAGATTTTAAACAGGGGAAGGATGTGCTCCAACTGATGTCTTTCTAGGATTCCTCCGGCAGTGGAGATCAGATTGGAGGGGAGGTTGGAGGGGTGAAGGCGAGGTGATTGTTGTTAGCTGGGTGACAAATATTGTAGGCTCGGCCCACAGTCCTGGCAAAGAAGATGCCAAAAAGCTAAGTATTTTTGGAGAGAGAGTGAGTCAAGGAAGCCTCCACAAGGGAGGTGGTGCTGAGTAGGGTTTTGAAAATTGAGTAGGAGTTTGCTCAGCAAGCGAAGGCTAAGGGGTTTCTCCTGATGATGAGGCCAGCACATATGAAATTCCACAAGGGTGACTCTGAGTGGCTGGATGGTGCTGAAACACAACCAGTAAAGGGGGGTGTGAGGGGAGGGGCCGTGGGGAGCCTCCAGTATCATGCCCAGAGCTCGGGCACTGTCTCATAGATAGTGAGAGCTCTAGAAGCCACATCTTTAGTTCACACATTTAATTGCAATGAAAGGACTGGGAAGCATTTTACAGGCGGAAGGCATGAATGAATGACCCAAATTCACTGTAAAATCCATCTTTAGAGAATCGAGAGCAGATGATGATGCCGGAAGGAACGTTCCCAGTGTCTCGTGATTACTCTCTCTGCTTGTTCCCTCTGATGTCTCGGGCTCCAGGGCAGAGGCCATGGCAGCAACCAAGGATGAGAGAAAACCCCACAGGGAGAAACAGGGAAGGCGAGATCACACCCAACCCAAAGGGGGTGCCCCCACCATCACAGGGGCAGACGGGCTGAACAGCCATCTTCACAATGACAAATTTATAAATTTTAACAGAGAAGCATTTGTCTTAACATGCATAAGAGAAAAGTACTCATCCAACTCATTATTTTGCATATGGTGTTGCTAAGATGGAATTAAATGTATATAAGAAATGAGTCAACCCAAAATAAAACAGTAAGTAAAAGATTGTAGAAGATGACATTGGCTATAGTGTAAGGGATAGTCTGGGAAGCACTGAGAACAGTACCTCCTGGGGTGAGGGGGGCGTGGCGGCTGCAGAGTTGTCCATCAGTCTGCCTGGTGGGGCAGAGGCAATCTGAGGGGGCTGGAAAGTGCTGCTTTGTAAATGGACAGAAAGGAAGGGATGCAGATGGACGCTACTGGGATTCAGTGCAGCAGTGAACTCGCTCCCTGTAGTACCTCCAGCACAGCGTTCCTGTACCCGGCTGGGTGGGTGTGCTGTGAGCTCACTACACTTTCCACCTCCCCCTGAGGTATGAACTCAGAGACAGCTGGCAGCGGGGCTCTTTTCTGCAGAGCTTGGTCTCTAAGTTGCCATCATGGATTGACACCGAGGCCCTTTTACCGGAAGGACCATCACAGGGTACAGAGGCATGGGCAGCTGTCCTCCCACCACACAATACCATAATCGTCATAGTGATAATGACGCACATGTCACAGCTAGCAAACTCCCAGCTGGGGCCTGCCTCGTGCATTTCACACGCACTCCTAATTTATTCCTCATCCAACCTAGTG